ACTCTTCTTCCCCCCTTCTGAGTGCCCTGTTTCCTTTCGGTTTTCTCTCTGCCGAGCCTTTGAGCATGGCCCTGTTGGATGGTACAGCATGCTAGTTTACTTTACTTTCATATATTTTTGAGATATTCGTATGTGAAGGATGAAATGTGAGCATGTGTTAGAAATTAGACTTGGATATTCGCTTAAGGTGGTGGATATATGGCATGTTCTTTGTTTATCCTATCATATTTATGTCGGAAGCAATTTGGATAATTAAAGCATGGTTTTGGAATAATTTCTACTCCTCTTGCAAACAAGTTAGGATGTGTATTATGAAGCTTTTCATTTATTTTCGTTTAGCATGAGATATTGAAGAGTTTATTTAGCCTTTCATGCATGCTAAGGGGTTTCGGCTTTGGCATCTTATGACTTTCTCTTGCTTAAAATGAATGCTAGAAAGTTCACTTTACTTTTTTATTCATATATGGGCGCTCAGTTTAGCTCCTGCGGCTTTTCCTTACTTGAAATATATGCTATGAGAAAATTTATTTAATTTGGAAAGTTCTATAGCTTGTTTTGAGGGCTTGGTTTAGCTCCTCGTGAGGCATCTCCCCTGTTCAAATATCTGTTGGAATTGTTTTATGCTTGAAATATTTAGACATGCAGGTTGTTCCTTGGCTTTGGATGGCTCGGTTTTACCTACAGGTGGCAGGAACTTTAATTTTCAATCCTGAATTTATATCAATGTTTGGGTCTTATTTTATCCTCGTTGGGCTCGATTTTGGCTTGGTTTGGAGTCTCGGCTTTGGCTTGAAATGGCTAGAACTCTATTTTTTTTTTATGGAAGCCTGGATTTTAATATTGTTGGGTGTGGTTTGGGTGCTTCTTAAACTCGGTTTTGGCTTGTAATAGCTCGGTTTTGGAGCTGTGTGGGCATTCGTCTTTCATTACAGGAGCATGAGATGTTAACTTTTTGTTGAGGTGTTGAAGTTTTCTTTGCTAGCTTTAAGAGGCTCACTTTGGGCTCTTACTGATTTTTGATTTGTTTAGAAGTGGCTGGAATTTTAATTTCTATTAAAGCCTG